TTTTTTTTTTTTTTTTAAATAATACAGCTGCAAAGTGGACAAATGGGCGGTGGCATGTGGGAGAGATGCACCGCCCCACTACTCCATTATTCTAACATCTTACAGGGTCAAGCTCGCAAGAGTCGGGCAGCCGAACGGTAACAGGTCGAACGACCCACTCGACAGGATCACACTATAGAGATCCAATCTAGTTAGACGAGAGAACAAGAATGTGCTTTGGCGGTGAGACCAAATCCATGGGCCAGTGATAAAGACTGTCTCGAGATATGGAACATCGATTTCGATGCTACGCCCTTCGATCCTCTTGAAATCACACAAATCAAAGTGCTTGAGCCCGGGCGATGCCTCCTCGCTCACTCTAACGTTTCTTAAATCCCAACTATAAAGGTTAAGGCGCCTGAGCAAAGGGCAGCCCAACATTTTCGTCTCGAAAGTGCCGCCATCAAATTGGACCTGTTCGAGGGTGAGCGTGCGCAAACTTTCAAACCGCACGCTCTCGACCGGGCTCAGCCTGCATTTGCTCAAGTGTAGTTCTTCGAGGAACTCGGCTAAGAAGACTGCCGAGGGCAGGTTGTAATACGACTGAGTATATGAAAGAAAGTTGAGTTTGAAAGCTTTTATGTTGAGGGCGGCTATTATCGGGATCCATTTGTCGAGAAGGGAGATGACCGGTCGTGAGACAGGCCTGGATAAGTCGAGACGGAGTTTGTATATGGACAGGTTTTGATCCTTTGTTCCGCCATGGTCTGCAGAGGTGATAGAGAATGTGGAGCATTATGGAGCAGTTGACGGTGACAAACTCTTCTTTTGTGTCGTTTAACCCTTCTTCGGAAGTCGAGGTTGGGGCACTTTTCGTGTGTGTCGTCGAACCATTCTTCGGAGAATTCAAGGTTGGGGCGGGTTGATCCTATAAGGCGCTATTGTTTGGAGAGTAGACAAGTCCTCACAGCTTCTTTTTGGGAGAGGAAACAGAGTATGTGGTGACGTATTGGTATATTGATAGTTGGGATATTCTATCGTCGGGCATTGCTACGGAGATATTCTCCTTTTTTTTTTTTCTCAAGAGTTCGTTAGAACATAAGGGCGTCTACAACAAGGCTGAGTTAGCTAGCTATTTGGGTGTACAGGACAGCATTCATCCTATGTGGAGGAAAGAGAACGTGCAAAAAAAATCGAGCCGGCGACTCGCCCGTCGCTTATCTCGCACACAGTACGATGCCTCAAATATGTTGTTTGTCTCTGTACATGGAAGTATTAAAAATACAAATAGCTAGCATTATAGATAGCTCTCTAGACTGCTGGCTATTTGATATATGACGTGGATGTCTTCTAGCTAGCAGTTAGCTAGGACTGTTGGAGACACCCTAAGAAGCTACACAATTTTCTAATAAAAAACTTCTTCAATCAGTCTTCTAATATAA